CAATAGCTCAACAGATCACCAAAATGCCTCAAATGTTGTTAAAAGTAATATTTATGTCCTATTTATGTAATTTTTCTTCAGAACTGTTGGTCCTTGAGTGACGAGATTCTCTGTCACCACTATAACAATTACTCCTTATTGTTGAAAATGTTGAACTCATTCAAACTATAGGTGTACCCTGTTTTGAAAATAAATTTAACTAAAAATAAGGGTTATACCAAGCCGCAAAAAGTTCCTATGTGTCAGTTTTCCCACATTGTCTAATTGATAGGAGAAAAATACAACGTGTCCTATGGTTCCATGCCACACCCCCTTTGGACCGCGTGATTGAAACCCAGCAATACTGACAGTGGCTCAGTTGAGTCTGCCTGTCTCAATGCTAAAAGATCAAGGTCAGGGGTCCAGAAAGGGCCAGTGTGGCTGCAGGTTTTCTATCAGACCAAGCCATTTCCTCAATTATTCAGATTGAAATTACTGCAGGAAGATTAGGATATAACGCACTTGGAGAACATGGGTGGAGTCTGCTCTTCTCCTGGTTGGACAGATAGCAAACCTGCAGCCACACCAAAAGGACCAGTGTGGAGACCCCTCATCAAGGCCATCTACGTCACTGTCAGAGAAGCCATCCTTCCATGGAACCAACACCTGCAGAAGAGAGCTAAGAAAATGGACTATCATAGGAGATGAAAATGGCCGAACGAATGAACTATACCATATAATCACAATCAGTTATTAGTAGACTAAAATTTGGTTCTTGTTGCTGTTGTTATAGTATGTACGTAAGTAAGTCATGTTTATTAATATGTAGTGCTTCTTTACAGACCAAGGTCACCCAAAGCGCTTTACAATGTTAAGAGTTCAGATATTATTATGTTATTATGGTTAAAGTTCATCTCTACAGATCCTTTTATGAAACTCAATGTGGAATTCACATCAAATCTTATCCGTGTGCCAAATTAATTAAAGAAACTTGCCAAAATCTTTCTGAACACTTGTTGTTTGCCTCATCTTTGAAAAGTCCATCATCTGTGTTCTTCCACTTTATCCATTGCCATGCAATGGGCCACAGAAGCAGCAGTGTGAGCAGAGACAACTTCCTCCAGCTCATCCGGTGGGATCCAAAGGCATCTCAGGGCCAGCTGAGAGGCATAGTCCGTCCAGTGTGTCCTGAGTCTTTCCTGGGGCTTCACTCAAGAGGCTGGAGCTGTACAAGGCCAAACAAATGTCCAAGACACCTCCACTGGCTGGGTTTAAGGCAGTGCCCAACCTGCATAGGAAACTTGCAATCGTCTAATTCCTAGTCGACCCCATATCAATTCCATAGATTTTGTGGAAAGTACATTTTCATCAACAGTTTGTAATTATGTATTTATGTATTGGTGCATGTGTTTTCCTGTTGGAACAACTGGTAGTAAAGTATTGACTGATTATTGACAAAAAAAAAGTCAACAAGCCAAGACTTTCCCAATACAACTAGAGATTTGTGTTAAAACACAAAATATACACTTCATCATGGGTTTGAACATTTTAGGTTGAGTTTCAATCCGAGCCAATCTGATCTTTTCATCTGGTAAGTTTTGTTCATAGCATGGTCCATCTTAACCATGTGAACTGTAGTGACCTTGACCAGTGGTGAATGCTGCCTAAAGTTGAATGGAGTGTGGATCAAACCCACTGAAGTTTGGGCCCCTAAGGAATCAACTTTTAGAACAATACCTGTGTGTTTTTCCCTCCCAATCCCACTTCATCGTTCTTTCTCAGCAGACTTCTACCCCCACTGTACAACTGTGTGAAAGCCGTAGCCTGTGGGGATAGTTTTCTTTAGGCTGGAAGATCAGAAGGATGCTGCTCGCGCCTCATCCCCCTCTCCCCGTTTGGTGAGCACAGTGCTGGGAATTAATGACTTCGCCGAGGCCCATCAACGACACAAAACACGTGGGTAGAAAACATTGGAGACCAAGTGTGTTAGGGGAGGAGAAGGTAACAGATAAGACTTGGTGGGCTATTGGTGCTCCGCTGTGACCCAAGCAGTGGTGAAGTGAAGGGTGACTAGAGAGCAATAAGAATGAAGCAATAGGCCCGTGCTGAGTCAGATCGGCAATATTGCAGCAGGAAGTAATTTCATTTTGGGCTTGGCACCAGAGAATACACAGAGACTGAAAGGCATTCACTTACACTCCAATAATGTACAAGTCAACTGTGTTGGAAGAGTTACAACAGTCAAATGTCTACAATTTTGATAATTTGACATAAGAAGAGGTATAGATTGTTCAATGTATCACCAGGTGCCATAGTGGAGCGGCTGCGCCTGTAAAGTTCCAAACTTTTGCTGCGTTTATTTGCCTCGCTTCTGTCAATGTACCCCAGGGCAGCTGTGGCTAAAGTTGTAGTTTATTACCACTGTGTATGGGATGAATGAATAATGACAGGCCATAATAATAATAATACATTTCATTTCTTAGGCGCCTTTCTTGACATTCAAGGTCGCCTTACATACAAGTAAAAAAGTGCATTTTAAAAACAAGTAAAATACAGTTAAGAAACAAAGGTTAAAGTATCAAGGACAGAGGAGAGTGTGGTTAAGATGTTAGTGAGTTGGCTTGTCTAAAACTGATGAGTTTTGAGGGTGGATGTGAAGAGTGTGAGTGAGTCGGTGTTACAGGGATCAGGGGGGAGAGTGTTCCAGAGCAGAGAAAGCAACAAAAAAAGTGTCCAAAAAAGCACCATATTTTTATCATGTCACAATCGCGGATCTTTGATTTTGATCCTTTTTGTATTGTTCCATGTGCCATCTCAGTTTGATTCCATCTGTTGATTCAGGAGTGATGAACAAAAAGTGCCACGAAGGAGTAGGAACATTTCTGAATCACATTTCGTCTGCAGAACAGTCTGTTCCACCTTTATATACCATAAGTGACCTCATTACAGTGGTAGCAATATGCCCAAAAGTAATTCCTTCCCAGATAGCGTATTGCAATGCTACTATGATAAACAACATCAGCAGTTGCGCTTCTCAGCAGGAACGCCCTCGGCTTGATTCCACCTCCAGGCAGGGCCTATGGCATTTTTTAGTTTTCCTCTGGGTGCTCCGGCTTCCCGTACCACTTAGACCATGTACAATAGGGCTGGAATGCGCTTTGTATACAGTATGGTGATCCTGGTTCTATCACTATCTGAAGTGAAAGGGTGAATATCCACAACAGTTGTAAAGCGCTTTGTGACTCTGTCTGTGAAAGGGGCTATAAATAAAGACTAGACTTACAACTTCGACTGAGACAAATCATAATTAACACATTAGCTAATTTAATTAATAATGCATTAAGAAATAAATACCCAAATATATGAAGGGGTTGACATATTGGGCAGCGCTATAGAGGAAAATTAAAGAATCTGTCTGCAGCATGTAGCGTCGTGATTTGGGAGATGCTGTGTGCTAATTAGCAGTACGGTCTCTTGGGTTTGTGAACTGTGAGAGTGTTTGCACTTTGTGTCATTGACGCCACACGCTTGGTTCAATGTGAAAACTCTCAATACAACTGAGGTCATATTTTTGTCAACAAACAGACTTAATGCTTTTGTAAGGGGAAATATTGTGAAGGAAAAGAGCGAGCATGAGTGTGTCAGGTATTATTGAAAAGACTAAAACCCAGTACTTTTACAATATTAGTTTGTTTGTGTATTCTATTTTTAATGTTTTAACTCATTCACTGCCCTTGACACATTTGTCTGAGACTGGTGGATTCTGTCAAACTTCCCTCTGTTTGACTGGGGATTACAGGAAAACACAACTAGCTAGAAACAAACTTATTTTTTCAGAAGAAAGTAGATAGTCCAGTCTTTCAGAATCTACATTTCACATAATAAGTTATAGCGCACCATTTCCTGTGGGTCTTAAAAATCAACAACGGCTGACAGTATTTGTGTTTATGGTACATTTCTTTACTAACCCAGTGAATTAAAATATTTTGCTCAAAGATCAGTTCTTTTACATGTATTTGTTCAAAAAGGCACATAGGCTGGAGGATCCATTAATTCCTTGTCATATTCTGCAGTTATTAAAATTTGACATTTCTGGACCTAGAGTACTACTTCTGAGAAGCTCCATGTATCCTGATTCATGATAATGGGAAATCTTAAATGACCCATTATTATCACGATCATGTCCGAACACGGGGGAAAGGACCGCTACTCTTTCAGATTCAACATGTCCAGTGTGACAAAAACACTTTTTGTTAACTAATGTGTACCGGGTATGTCTTATAATCTTGACACCTTGTCCACAGTGAAAACTATATTTGTTTTTCTGTTCAAACACATCAATATATAAACGAATAAACGATCTAACGAAGGGGGTGCCAACAAATGAATCAGTACACCTACAGTAGCTACATGTCAATCCAAAAGAGGAAACAAACAAAAAAGGATTTGTCCATCAAAAAGTGGTAATGAAGCTATAGTTGCAGAATGATGCCTTATGTAGAGAAGTGGAGTGGACTTTTGTCTTGGTTATGTGTTTAAATTTAGATTGTGTCCCTTATAAATATTCCAGCCCTGTGCCATCTTGCACTGTTTTTACACATCTCCTTCATGTGCAGCTTTTTGTAGAGTGCATGACCTCAACTGCAGGCAGTGCTCTTTGTTTTTGTTTGGGCTGGAATATTCCACCATGTTGTATAATTTTGACTATATACGTTAATGCCTTCTGTTTAAAATAATACAAAAATAAGCAAAAAGCAAGAGTCTGGTGTGTTCCTGCTTGGTTGGAATGAAAACCTGCAGTCCCTCTGGCTTGTGAGGACCAAGTTGAAGACTGCTTGAGAGCCAACCTAATAAATAAAATGCAAATAAGCACAAATAATATCACATGTAACGCTTGTGTTCGTAAATACACAGACAAAACTGGGATTTTTTTTTTAAAAGCCTTTAAAAACAAAACAAAAACTTTTGCAGGACTGCACTATTTCCAAAGTTTCCTCTTTCTTTCTTTCCCTCTGTAAATGTCAGCAGGCCCGGATCGCCGTGCCGACGTTCCGCCCCTGAACACTCAAACGGAATTGAGGGGAGCCAAGAGGAACCGGAACAATTTGGCCTGATAGCTCAGCCTCTGCTCAACATTGCTAAGCGACCACCGTGAACTCAATTTCACCAGCCTTCTCCTTCACTATCCCTTTACCGTATACCTTGAGGCAGGAGGAGAGCAAGGACATTTCTCCACTGAATCGTCCCAAAATCGGTGCTGTGGGTTTTGGTCTGCTGCGCTCGGGCTTGCACAGGATGTCCTCTCTTGTGTGGACACTGGTGAAGAGGAGAGAGTATGGACGTGACATTTGTGAAGTTCTGCATCAGTGAGAAGGCCTCGAGCCCCAGTGGGAACCCCATGGCTGTGGACAGTCATGGTGCTATTACAAATAAATGACAAATGATGGTGCATATATACGTATACTCTCTCTCTCTCTCTCTCTATCTCTCTCTCTATCTCTCTCTCTCTCTCTCTCTTTCTCTCTCTGTGTTTGTGTTTGTGTGCTCATTTACCTTTTTCTTAGCGTCAAAATGTGTTTGTTTCATGTTTTGTAAAGACCTTGTACTTTATTCTCAAAATAACAATTCAAGAAAAACAGGATCCTTTTTTTAACAAACCTTATGGCCCTATATGCTGTCAATGATTTTTTTTCTTTTGTCTTAATGCAGAAATCCAAATATCTACTGTTTACATGCTGTTACGAAGACTGATAGATCCTGATAATAGCACAATTGTCGTTTTTAATTTCTCCTTTTTTTTTTTACTCTTGTGATTTCTATTATTATTGCACTTCCTATATATTAATGATAAATATAGGTATGGTAATAATATTGTATTTTTTATTTAATTTTTCTACTCTTCCTGCCTGAATAGTTTGGTTTCTGTTGTTTCAGTTCTATAAACTTTAATGCGGCAGGTTTGGTTGTACTTTTGCAGTTTGTGAGCAGAAGACCAGCAGACGTAATGTGGCATTTTGTGGAAACACATGGTACAAAAAGCAGGAAACTGACCTTTTGTGGTTCTGATTTATTAGCAGCAAAATTCTGCAGACACAAGCTGTCTCCTACAAATATCACAATATTTATGATTTTGAGCAGAACATATGCCAGCAGGTCCTTATCATTTTGAGAGCGTCACTGCTTTGTTTTATTTTTTATTTATTTTTACATCCTATATCAAAGTTGCTATGACTCCTGAACAGCATTTTTACCATTTTCTTCTTGCTCAAGGTTTTTGTGAAAATGTTTCAAATTATGATTCATATTTGCATGAACTCATAGCATATTTGTATCTTCTGATGACTGTAATATCTCTTGCCTAAGAAAGATAATGATATTATGATAAAATCGTAGCATTGTTGTTTGGGGAACTGAAAAGAATATACTTACATTCACCAGAATACTATCCTTGAATAATACTTTTACTTTGATTTGTCCATTAATATAGCGTGAAAAAAAGCATCACAAGGTAAGAACAGATTGTTACACCATTTTCTCTTATTGTTTTTTGTAAAATTAGATCAAAAAATTAAGACACTCAATGCCCCACTTGTTGAATAAAAAAAAAAAATCCTACTGGGCATGGTGGTTGAGTCGTTAGCACTCTTGCAAGAAGTTCCTGGGTTTGAATACAGACACGTACTTTCCGGTAAAAATGAGTATTCTGGATGCATATTTTGGATACTCCCCAAGACTGCAAAATAGTTCGTGGTTTTACAGCTTGAGTATAAGCTTCATAATCCTGTTTTATACACTGGGAGAGCAGAAGGAGCCCTCTGCTTCTCTTTTGGGTGGACAAAAACCTTGTCATGATCACGAGAGCATAACACTGGTTTGATAATATTTTATTGCGTTATCAAACAGGTGTCATTTGCCTTCATTAAAGTTGAAGGGTGGTTCATTGTAAAATCATGAATTGCCATTATTGCATGTTGCCTGCTATTGTGTAAATGTTCTGATCAAAAACATTACAATAAATCCACTTGACCCTAGTTACCAAGCAACACCACCATCCATGTCATTTGTTGGGCTTCTTGTAAGTGCCCTGTGCAGTGCACCAATAAAGCACATTAGTGTTGTCACAATAACAAAATTGGTTTTGATAAAAATTAATACAACTTTGTTTGGACAACAGGCCATGATTTTCAACATTGAAAGTATTTGTATGGTACCAAGTGAGCTATGAAAAAGAGCTGCATAAATATGCTCAGATTTTGTCCAACAATTGTTTTCAAAACGTTTCATATATGTCTTTTTTCCTTTGATTCATATGTGATTTTTGACGATTTTTTTTTGAGAGCACACAAATAACTTTATACATGTCTATTACCAAAATGCTTTGAGCATCATTGTCATAATAGTTATATTGTGCTTCAATCCATTCTTTGGTTTCAACATTTCCTCGACTTTTTAAATGAATGCATCCAAAAACAAAGAGGGTGCCATGTGAAACTGCTGCTGAGTCTTAGAGCAATCCTGGCAACCATGGCGCCAGTGAAGGAACGGAAATGTCACTCTGGCTGAATTTTGTCAGGGACATTTGTCAGTATTTGTTTCATATGAAATTATTTATCTATTTCAGACAAACATAGGAGCAACACAGTTGTTATTAAACATTTGTAACAAAATCATAGAGTTTGGAACCTCAACAATATATTTAATCTGCATACTCAGTGCAATTGAAAAATCTGCTGCCCATTTGTGAACAGGACACAATGAATATGAAAAACGTTTCCCCTTTTCAAAAACAGGTTTTGTTAAATTATAACTTATCTGAATGTTTATGGAAGCCAATACAAGGCTCTTATAAGACAGTTCTTGATTGTGTGCATTAGATCGATGACATTTGAGCCCTTCCCTTCCTGCCTGCAATGCATTATGGATTTGCATAGGTTGTGAGTTGTTCCCTTTTTACAGCACTGAGTAACCAGGCTTTGGGAGAGTGTGTTTGAGACCGGTGGCTTATTTTCTGTGTCTCTGAGCTGGTTTGTTACAGTTTTCTGCTCCAACTGGGAGGTCAGTGAACAGGTCATTGGTTTTTCAGTTTGAAGGTGTAACCAAAGTTTCATCAAGTTGTGTTTAAAGCCAACAAAGGAATTGTATCTGTCTCGCTGTTGTCACTGCTAATCTTTTACTAATAGCTTTGTTCCTAGTTTATTAACATCGCCTAAGATCAAAATAAAGATTGCCTTTTTCTGGGGACTAAAGGCACTGGTTGAACAGGTGAAATACCGAAGTAGCCGTGCTAAACCCTGGGAAGAGCACATGTAGTCACTGTCAGCCTATTTTTTGTGGTTATTTTTCCTGAAAATGATTAATTCCAACAAAAAAGGTCCCAAATGATCTGTTCCCTGCTTCCATGTTTATTTGTGTTTACATGTGTTTTGCGACTGGTACAAACAAACGGTTCTGTCTTTGAATGGAACACCAAAGAATAAATGGTTGAAAGCATTACAAAATAAAACGCTCCAAAGTGATTCATTCTGCTCCCAGCTCTGCCCCGTCTGAGCCAAAGTGCTGCGTGCTGGACTGGCTACATGCGTCAGCCTGCATTAGGTGGACCACTGAACAATGGGCTGATCCAGGAGCAGGTGGCGCCCACTCCAAACTCTTGAGTGTGTGTTTGTGCGTGGGTGTTTGCATCTGTGTGTGCGTGTGTGTTTGCATCTGTGTGTGTGTGACAGGAGCAGACAAGGACAGGTCTACGCCATCTGGAACACAAGACAATTCCAGGTGAGGTGGAAACTTGAACGTTCAGCTTGCCTGGCCTCTCCCTCTGATCCAAACATTTTTGTCGGAGCTGAGACGGAGATTCTGTGTTACGGTTCCAAAGAGGGTGCACACCAATTCTGACAGTGTGAAATGAGCCATTACAAGGTGTCCCCCCCCCCCCCCCCCCCCTTTTATCCGAAAGTGGATTGACCCAAAATGGGATCAGTGTGGCTCAAGTCAAGTCAGGTTTATTTATAGTAGTAGTCTGTTTGTAGTCTCAAACAGATTAGGCTGTAAACAAACACTTAGTAGCTGACATATGAGTATAATTACTTGTGAGTATAATTACTTGTGAATGAATTGTGAACCAATCTGCTGAGTCTGGTAAGTTCCACTGTATATAAAATATGCAGTATATTATCATTATTTTCACAACAAATGCTTTTCTGTGGTATTTCTCTCTATTGAAAGACGAGAGATATATTACAATATACTGTATCTCTCAAGTGCACATCACAAACACTAGAATGCTCTTTTACAAGAACAATAGCACTGTAAGGAGGTTCTTGGTTTGACAACTCACATAGTAGGTTATAATCATTTTAATATCCATCCATCCATCCATCCATTTTCTTCCCCCTAATCCATTTCTGGGTCAGGGGGTGGCAGTCAGAGCTGCACCCAGTCACAGAGCACCAGCCCCTCACTGATCCTCCTGCAGGTGGTGAGTCCACAGGAGCTGAGATCTTTCAGCGGGGGCTTCAGGCAAAGTGGGGTTAAGTGTCTTGCCCAAGGACACAACGACAGCAGTCATCAGTGGGAGTCAATGAAGTAGGTCTTGAGGTGGGCTTGAACCCACAACCTTCAGGCTCAAAGGCCAATGCTCTACCAACTGAGCTACTGTCGCCCCAAATAATATGTCATGTTTTTTCAGAAAGTTGAATAGTAACTTTGTCAATACAAATGGTTATTCACTGTATTCCATTGTTGCTCTACTTTGTCACTTTGTCCCATACCCTCAGGCTGCTAACATGTACAGATGTATACGTACAACTATATATATTACTTTCCCAATAATACACAGTACTTTATACTTGCTTCTTATTATGCTTGTATCCTGCTAAAGTCAGAGGTTTTTGTACTCATTATGCTAAAGATAGAGGTTTTATACTTGTTTCTTCTTCACGATAGAGTAAGAGATTTTTACTTTATTTTTTGTAGCAGAGAGTTTTTGTTTATTTATCTTGTGCTGTGTGCTACTGATTCCTACTGTTCTCCAATTGGTGATGCAACACTGAAATTTCCCAACTGTGAGACAAATAAAGGATCTCTTCATCTTAATCCTATTCAACTTGTTGCACTTATGGTTACTATGATACCTTGACTGCTATCATCTGATTCGTTAGCCTGTCATCAATATTATATATGACATTTGTCTGGAGTCTTGCTAGTGCTTTTTATTCTTTGTACAACTGCTATTGAACGCCGGATTCATCGGCCTTGACATCTTGATCAGTTCACCAACCGACCTCTAAATCATATTGACTCGATTTGAAGGATGAGTAAATACATTCTTACAAGCCTATGCTGTGTAATA